CATTTAACTCCCAACCATGACACCTGACAACATCAAGTCAAATATTAGTGAAGAAACTTCCTTCAGACTTCACCTTCAGACTACTGATCCATCAGTTGAGGATGTTAAATACCACTTGGAAGCAAGGACAAAGAATTTCATCTGAGCAGGGGACCTCAAGGTCCATCACCAGAAGTGGCTTAGCAGCATTGCTGAAGCAACATATCTGACAGACTGAGTCTGCAACAATTGGTGAGAGATGTAAAATAAGGGGGAAAAAACCACATTCTTTCATCCTTGCCAATCTACTTGCCATACATGCAGCTGTCTACAATGGTACTAGAAGTGACTGTGCAGAGTCTTGCCATGCCATACAGAGCAGCTACAGTTCAAAGTAAGGCACCTACGAACTACTTCTCCAGCCAGTGGCCACTGGCTTCAACTTTACTCTGTCTCCTTAATGCCACACTTTTATCAAAAGCTCCCAGGGATTGCAAGGGTAGCCAATCTCACCTCACCTTTCGTAATTCAGGCTCTTCATCAATGCTTAGACCAAAGCTGCAATAAGATCTGGAACCAGTGGTTACTTCTGAATCTAAACTGAACATCGGTAAGCAGGTATTGGTGAATAAGTGTTGCTTGTTAGTTGTAGTGAAAATTGTCCACTGGCTAGAGACACATTTACACAAAAGGATGGTTAGAAACTTTGATTCAGCCCCAGAATTCAGTGCAACAGTCCTTGGGGGACTGTTCTCAGCCCAATCATCTTCAGCTGTTTCATCAATGAGCTTTGCTCCAATACAAAGTGGAGATATTCTCTGATGGATAGTTGTTTATTTCCATTTTCAACTCTTCAGATATTGAAGCAGTTCTCACCTGTATGCCTCTGGAGAATATTCATATTTGTACTGAGAAGTGGAATTCTGTTTGTTTGGATAAGCACAGCTCTAAAATGTACGAAGTTCAGCAAAGCAACAAAGGAAACAGCAGTTTGCCACTTGGCTCCCCTCCACCATTCAACTAGTTTATGTCTGATCTTCTAGTACAACATCTTCCTATACTATTACCACAGTCCTGGATGTCTTTAATATTCAGAAACCTTCGTGATTTCAGTCTTGAACATACTCAATGACTCAGCGTCGAAAGTCCTCTGGGGTCAGAAATTCCAAAAATTCTCAACCTCTGAAGAAATCCCAATTCATCTTGGCCCCAAGTGATCTATTCCTGAGTCCAAGACTGACCCCTCTGGTTCTAGAAACAAGCAAAGGGAAAGATCCCTTCTGCATGCACTCTATCAAGTCCTGCAAAAACCTGATGTTTGAATGAGATCACCTCTCATTCTCCTAAAATATACAGAATACATGCTCATTCTTTCCTATTTCTCCTTGTAGTACAATCCCACCATCTCAGGAATCAGTCATGCGATTTGTACCACGCATGCCATGGCAAGTATATCCTTTCTTTGGTACGGAGACCAAAACTGTACATAATACTACAAAATGGCTTCACTGGGGCTCTATTATTGAAGTCTCCTTACACCTGAAAATCAAATCCTCTAGCATTAAAAATCATGTCATTTGCCTGCCTAATTTCTTATTGTAAATTAGCTTTCAATGACTCATGAATAAGGACATCCATTCACATTTGGACATGAACAATCGTCAATCTTTAACAATTTAAGAAACAGACTATATTTCTGTTTTTCCAAAGTAGATAATTTCTCAATTTTTCATGATTGACTTTTTTTTTAAAGAAAAGGACTTTCAAGGGATGTGGACATCACTGGCTGGACCATCATTTATTGCCCATTCCTAATTGCCCAGAGGCCAGTTAAGAGTTAATCGTATTGCTGCGGGAGTAATATGTGGGCCAGACTGAGGATGGCAGTTTCCTTCCCTAAAAAAGGCATTAGTGAACCAGATGGGTTTTCCAGACAATACACATCAGACTCTCAAGTCCAGATTTCTATTGAATTCAAATTCCACTGTCTGTCAAAGGTTTCAACCCAGATCCCCAAATTATAACCTGGGTCTCCGCAGATTAACAGTTGTGTGATAATAACACTAACCTATCACCTCACCTGCCCAATCATTAAGCCTATCTAAATCCCTTTGAAGCCTCTTTTCATCCTCCTCACAACTGATCTTAACCATCTGATTCTGTGTCAAAGTAGAAAAATTATATTTGATCCCAATGTCCAAATCATTGACATGGGTTATTAACAACTGGGCCCAAGCTCCAATCGTACTCTAACCATACCCAACAAACCGGAGAATGAATTATCCCATATTTTGTCCATTAAGCAATTCTTGGTCCATGTCAGTCCTGTATATTTCCCCCTATCCCATGCACTTTAATAACTACCCATTTTGTAAACGTATCCTTGAAAAAAACTGCAACAGGTTTGTCAAACATTATTTCCTTTTCATTAACCTACCTCTACTCTTAAGTGTTCAGTTTTCATATCCTTTATAAGGCATTCTAACATTTCCCTACTCCTGGTGTCAGGCTAAACAGAACAGTAGTTTACATTTTCTTTCCTTCCTTTCTTAAACTCTGGGGTTACATTTTGTACATTCCATCTGCAGGATGATTCTGGAGCCTATAGAATTTTGAAATTTGACTTTTAGAGTCACGTCTTTCAAGGATATAGATCATCACGTTCAGATAATTTATCAACTTTTAGTCCTAATAATTTTTCCAGGGTTACTCTTTTACAAATACTAATATATTTCATTTCCTCACTCAAGCAAATTCCTTGGTTTTCACATTTCTGGGAGGTTTTACTATCTTCCTCAATATTTAATTAAATTCTCTGCCATTTCCTTATTCTCCATTATAAGCTGTCTGGTCTCTTCCCAAAACGGGCCTTCATTTGTCTCTTTTTATCCACATACCAAGAGAAGCTTTTACTGTTCATTTTTGTGTATCTCAGTTTACTTTCATTTTCTTCCCCCCTTAGACAGTTTCTTTATCCTTTGAGTTCTAAAATGCTTCTAATACTCTTTATTCCATTTTGTCAACAAAGAAAGCAGTTTGCTCAAATGGTATAATTTTCACAACGTAAAGCATGTGGTTCCTCTGCCAATGGTGGAAAGTGACTACAGAATAAAAGATTTACTGCAGTAACTAGCCCAGGCTTTATCCACAGCATCTTTCAAAGCAACCACCTGGACAGAAAAGAGCAACAAGCACAGGTGAACACCATCACTACCCGAGGTTTCTCTCCAAGTCATATGCCAGCCTGATACAAGACTTAATCACTCTAGATAGTTCCACGACTTTAACAACAGTTCTCTTGAACCGTTGCATTCAATGTAAAGTGGCTCACAATTAACTTCTAAAGGGCAAGTAAGAATCAACTAGAAAAGTTGGCCATGCCAGTAACACGTGCATTTCATAAATAAACAAAAGGAATCACTAAAAATAGTTAACCTGGGAACACCACATTTGGAAAATGCAACTGAAAAGAACATTAACAGTACTGTCAAAAATTAGTTAGAAACGTGTCACTTAATTTCAGTCAAGGCATCATAAGATGCAATAAATTATGGTCAACAGTTGAGTCAATTATATACACTAATACCAACATTATAAAAACTTTGACCAGTATCTCCATTTGACACTATGACCATTTCCATTTGTCACACCGCCTGCCATCCAACCAACGGGACTCAGTTAATAGCTGTTTTACGTATGATGTCAGAAGAATGCGTCAAATGTCCACCTGTGTCTTGTGAGGTCACCAATTCCATGGCAATTAAAAAAAAGTGTTATGTGAAGAAATGGTTGTATTGAAGAAGCAAATCCAAACAATGGCCCAATTCATTGAAATGTTTGTGATCAATCAGGAAACTCCAGCATTTTAGTATTAACGAATTGTGATTTTTTATTCCTTAGAGTGAGGGTGTCACTGACAAGCGCAGCATAGACTGGCTTTCTCAATTCTCGTGGCAAACTGTTGCTTAACTGCTGGAGTCTGAATGATGTAGGTACATAGATCGTTCACATCTTTCAGATTTTTTTCAAAAAATTTCCAACACCAACAGGACTGAGTGAAGGAAAAAGCAGGAATATCAAGAAGATGTCATGCGTGCTCAGCCCTGATTGGTAGAATTAGTGGAGAGTATGCACATGCCAAAGGGCCTGCACATGCCGGGCATGCATCAGGGAACCCAAGTGTGAGAGAATGAGCATACAAGTTAAGACCACACGTAAGCAATGATACAAGACAGTAAGCCAATGCCAGGGCATTAATTTACATTAATATTCTCATAAATGGGTTAGAGGATTGCAAGTTCTTGAAGTTTCTACTAGTGTACAAACAGAAACTGTAATGATTATTGTTAATCATATGAGTATTTTGTATATTTGGTCTCCATCAGAGCAAAGCAGTTAAGAGTGAAACCACACAGCACCTCACCACTGTTAATTAATTGTTCCAGAAGATTTAAGTGCATGCACGTAAAACACAATCTGAATTGGATAAACTCAGCCTAAGCCAGATTTAGGTGATGTTCTATGTATCACATCCCACTGGCAATTTAAAAGTCAGCAACTTTACAAGTGAATGTACATTGAGACTTTTGAAAGGCTTGATGCTATGGGTCACAGTTTCAAAGCCAGATCTTGCCTACATGTGCGTTTTCCAAAAACAAAAAGGTGGTACATTATAGTACCTTGTCAAAAGGCTTTAATGGACGGATGTTGGCTTGAAACTGAAACAGAACTCAGCTTAAAAAAAGGGTGTTCCTAACCTCCAGTGGTAATATGACCCAGATTTAGATTCAATGTTACATGCACATTTCAAAACTAACGTTACTAGCAATCTTAGCAAAAGTCAAACTAAAAACATTGATGCATTTCTTCCAATCACAAATCTACATTTAATTTTGGAACGCACTTTATTGTAAAGAACTCAGCACTTACAAAAAACACTCGAAGCTAGTTTTGATTTTAGTCAAATTAAATTGTAGACACGAGAATTGGGTAGAGCAAAACCAGGGAGAAAACTTTTCACCTTCATTCTACTGGAACATGGAATTTGACATGAAGCACCCTTCAAAACATGGGAAATATGCTTTTACTCTGAACTGAAAATTGTTTACTTTATTAACTGTAGCAAAACACTTTGTATTATTTTCTTCTATTAATCCACAAATTGCAGCATAACATGGTACACAAATCACAGTGAAAAATAAACTTACCCGAACAAGTGCATCATCAATGATGTGGTCACGTCTGACTTTAAGTCTAAGATAAGGGTTCAGCTGTTGCCCCTGTACGAGGCTGTACAGGACAGTGATTCGGCGTTCACTGTACATGCGTATCCTGTTGTCATAGTAAAGACCCAAGTTCTTGGTTACAGCATTCAGAATGAAGGGGCAAGTCATAAAGGAAAATTTATTTTCTGTCTCAACTTTGAAGAAAGTGTAGTCTTTATCCATTTCTAGTACATCATTTAGTGGTTCATTAATAAATTCTTCAAAAGAGACAAGTGGCTTTCGGCAATCAATTGTTTTCACTCCCAACTCTGTTTCGAGGGGATCCACCCGGGGTCCTTTTTTATTTCTCCGTTCTTCACCCAGTAGTTCTTGTAAAGTAATTTCACTGGATTCTGCAACTGGCTCATCTTCCTCTTCCTCATTGTGCCCCGTGTCCACATCGCCTGCAATAATGTTTGCATAGTGCACTATTTTTAAGCATTTTGTAGCAGCAACAACAGCATCATCATCATTTACCAGATTTCGACTATTGAATTCATTACTTATGACCCTGTATGTAATGAGCTGCTGAAAGGTTTCCACCATTCGACGGATCTGGTCTGCAGTGTATTTTGACCATAGTCGAATTAATTTGGCTTGAGCTGGGAGGGGTAACTTGCTCATTGCTTTGCAAAACAGTGGAAGAGCCATTTCCAGATATTCAGGACTATGAAGGTTGCTGTTCTCCATAACTATAATGAATAAGTTTAGATAATTCGGATCCCTTGAATATACATTATGATAAGTCAAATCACATTCCACGTTTGGTGACAAGTACACTAACGCATTAAGAAAAGCTGTTTCTATCTTCTCATTGGAAAGCAATTTATTATAGACCCGTCTGACTGCATCAACATCAATAGATATTTCATCAGGTCCTAACTTATGAACATTGTTGTCTCTTGTCTGTGAGCCCCCAAAAGAACTTCTTGATGAAGATGCCTCTGCATCATCCATGGACCCTGCAGAAGCAGCTTTTTCTTCCTCATCTTCATCTTTGTCCTCATCCTTTCCTTGAAGGGATTTCAGCTCTTCCTTAGTATGCTGTTTGGCCTTTCGGAAGCTCTGTACCAAAGCATCTGCACTAGAGAAAACTCTGCCAATCACACGTATCAATGGCGAATAGTCTTCTCGTTCTCCACACAAATCCAGGATTTCATATACCTTTTCCTCAGTTAGATAGTTCACATCTATATTAGAAACACAATGAGCAGATGGTTATAATTCTTATAATTAAGACAGCAACCTGAAATAATTCCATACACTGTTTGATCTTTATATCTGCATTCTAATGGCAGCATCGCTATATTAAGTAATATGCTTTACAGATAGCAAGGTAGCACGGAATCAAGATAGATAGTACAATTGTGACCAAACCCACAACCACTCCCATCTAGGACAGGGCAGCAGATACATGGGAACATCACCGTGCAAGTTCCCCTCTAAGCCACTCACCATCCTGACTTGAAAATGTATCGCTGTTCCCTCACTGTCGCTGGATCAAAATCCTGGAATTTCCTCCCTAAATGCATTGTGGGATCTACCTCCAGCACAGACTGCAGCAGTTCAAGGAGGCAGCTCACCACCACCTCAAGGGCAACTAGTGATGGGAAATAAACGTTGGCCAGCTAGCAACGCCCACGTCACACAAATGAAAAATTATTTTCCTCACTATTAATATACATAACATTTATCTGATCTTGGTTATCAAACTGTTTCCAAGAAATAGTAAACATTAAAAATACAACTATTTTAATAAATCTAGATGTACTACGTAAAAAAATTACAGCAAATGCATACTGTAAAACATTTCTGACATATAGTCTGATTCACCAACAGATATAATCTTCCTAACTGACCAATTAGGCAATAAATAACTAGGAGAAAAATGTGTCAAGCAAAATTTTCATTTCAGTGCAAAATCACTTAATTATATTGAAGAATAAGTCGTCTTGCTTAAAAAGAAGTACCTGCAAAAAGTTAGGATAGAGAGAGAAATTAAGCCGACACCAGAAATCCAAAATAGAAAATGCTGGAAGAACATGGTAGCTCCATCAGTATCTAAAGAAACAAGTCAGATTAACATTTGAGAAACCTCAGTCAGCACTCTATCAAATGGGTTGATAACTGAAATGTTAACTTTGTTTCAGTGATGCTAAGTAACAATACATTTCCAGCACGTGTTCTCGATTCTTTGAAAAAGTATCATAAAGTGTGCCACCGGGACTCCAAGGTAGCAATTCAACGTTAGTCTGAAAGCAGTGAATGAATCCGAGTTGGAACTAGGAGAAGAAAATGGACACACAATGCCTTATATTTGGTTCTTCATTCCATTCCTTTTCATTCTGTCGTCATTGTTTTTGGTATTTGCCAAATTTTCTGCTGGTTCTTTCACTTCAAAAAATCTCACGTCAATACTGGGATTTGGTAGAAGTGAGTTTCTAACAAAAAAAAACCAACAATGCTCATGTCAAGAAAAATTTACAGGATTAGAATTAAGCTAACTGTTGGATGAACGCTCCTGTAGGAACTACTTCAGCAACTTAATAATAGGAACCCTTAAAAAAAAAATAGAAAAATAGGCACCAGATTAGGCCATTCAACCCTTCAAGCCTGCTTTGTCATTCAATGTGATCATTGATCATCCAACTCAGTACCCTGTTCCTTTTTCTGGCTCCATAAGCTTTGATCCCTTTGGCCCCAAGAACTATACACTGTGTTTTGGCCTCAACTGCCTTCTGTGGCAGAATGTCCCACAGGGTCAGTCAGTGAAGAAATCTCTCATTTCAGTCCCAAATGGCTTATCACAATGTCACCTGGTTCTGGACTGCCCGGGCAGCAGGAAGTGCCTTCCTGTGCTTACCTTGTCTAGTCCGGTTAGAATTTGATAGGTTTCCACAAGATCCCCTTCATTCTTTTAAACTCCACTGAATATAGTACTAACCAATCCAGTCTCTCTACATGTCAGACCTGCCACCCAGGAATCAGTCTGGTAAACTTCTGTTGCACTCACTCCATAGCCAGAACATCCGTCCTCAGATAATGAGACTGAAAATGCACACAATACTCCAGGTGTGGTCTCACCAAGGCCCTGCACAAATGCAGCAAGACATCCCTGTTCCTGTACTCAAGCCTTCTCACTATGAAGGCCAGAATAGTATGTGCCTTCTTCACCACTTGCTGTACCTGCATACCTGCCTCCAGTGACTGGTGTACAAGATCTCTTTGCACCTTTCCCTCTCCCAGTCAACTGCTAAACAATAACCTGACTTACAGTTTTTGCTACCTAAGTGGAAAGCTCACATTTATTCACTTTATACTTCATCTGCCAAAATGTCAAAGTCACATTGTTATAGAGATAGACTAAAGAGTTCTACTCCACTATGCAAGCACATGATGTTGACGCCAACCTATCATCTTATATTTTGCAGAAAGAATTAAAAGTACAAAAAAAAAAATCAACTTTCAGGGGAATATCACACTGAAAAGTCTACTTGTTGTGTATGTAGCACATTTTTAAATGCACGCCCAAAATCCAAGATTGAAGGATAGCTGTAGTGTACGTTTATCACGAAGACAGTACAACTAACACATTGAAGCCAACAAAGCCAACTGCATTATAGTGTCTATGAAAGAAATGCAACAGAATAAGTTTCCACAGTCAGTTAATGCACTTTAAACATGAGAAAATCGTATCAAAGAGGTAATAGGAAATGAAACTGGTACAGATTTTCAATGGTTTATTCAAAATAATTACCACAGTAACAGTAACCAAATTAGAAAAATATCATATGAATATATACATGATAGGTGTTTAAAGGCTACTAAAGTGTCAACTGGACAGGTTAGCTCACCCAAAATGATCTGTTTTTAAAAAAATAAAACTGGAATGGGAGAGCACTCAATATTGTGGAACTATTCACTAATGCAGCTGGGAAATGTCTTGGTTCTCCTATGGCCAATCTGCTCTCAATGCAATGAAACTGAAGTAGTTTCTAATTTAACTCACGCATGCTCTTTCCATAGGTGCATTTGTGAGCATGATTTTGGAACAAATTTAATGCAATATTGGCTAACCTGAAAAGACATCATCTCTTCCAAAATGTATTAAGCCATTTATTGAGGTTGTAAGTCACTTACTTTATGATATCTAAAGAAAAAGTGAAACACTTGCTAACAAAATCTGTTAGCAAATTTGCCTCATTTAAAGTTGCTAGCTAAGAAATTGTGCTCAAATGGAAAGATCATTTTTGTAACATTGAGCATTGTTGTTTAAAATAGCATTTCAGAAGCAAAGAAAGTCTTTTTGTGTACATGCTGAAATCTCAATGTGTTCTTAAAAGAATCCTGTACTAGATGGCAGAATAGTAGTGACATTATTTCAGAGCTCACATCATCATCGAATGCCATGAACCTACTTCCCCCTTCCTTCTGCTCCAATCCAAGCACAACTTTAATGTAAATTCTACACAGGGAAGAAACGGGGCCTAAGCTAGCCATCAATAGTTTGTGCGTAACTTTAAATGGTCAACAGCATTTAAATGAATTGCATACAGAAGGTTATGTTCTGAATTCCAAGGCTAATAGCCAAAGAACCTTGCTATAAATTAATGGGCAACTACACGGAACATCCAAATACTGAGGTGCATTTTGCATTATGAAAATATGGACAGAGAAAAACAGGAGATAACTGCTCTCATTACCTCCATGCTTGACACAAATGATATGGTCAGTTTACTTTCAGTAAAGGAATTAGACTGTCTCAGGCCCATAGTGCCTTGTGAACAAATAAGAACATAACTTGCGGTTAGTAAATGTATTTAACACAGAAAAACAACCCCAGATTTATCAAAGAACATGAACAGAATTTGACACCAAGCCACATCTAGAGCGATTAGTACAAATAGCCAAAAACAGTCAAAAAGGTGAGTTCTCTGAAACTTCTTGAAGAAAGTATGAGGGGAAGAGAGGGACAGCGAAACAGACGGAGAGGTTAAGAGAGAGTTTCAGATCTCAACGGCAGCATGATTAATATATGCAGCTTTGTAGATAATGGCAAATACAGTTTGACAGGATTATTGTATGTTTTTTCATATTTTCTAATCAACTTGCTCAGAGATGATTTTACACAACTCTGGAGCAGGTGAGACTTGAACGCAGGCTTCCTGGCTCAGAGGTAGGAACACTGCCATTGTGGCTCAAGACCCTATCATAACATCTGTTTTGATTATTCCAATCACATTCATTCAACTTAGCCGTTCCCAAATTTGCTCAAGTCTTACACTTGGGAAGATTGCCAATACTCTCATTCACTGTAAACAGCCGAAAGGCAGGTGAGCCTTCATAGTCAAGATGTGTAGCAAAGGCTTTAATTGGCCATCCTAGATGCTTTGCAGATATTAATATGTTGTGGTTAAGTTTCCGGCTTCAATTTATTACAGCTTTCAAGTCTGGAACTTCTTTTCAGAGCCATACAAGATAAAACATTTATTAAATTATGTTCAAGGTATATTTGATAGTTAAGACAATTCTGAGAATTGTCTGTTATACATATGTTCTAATTAACCCACTCAGATGTTATTGCACACCCATTACACATACATTAAACCCATGCCCGACACTGCCATTGCACCACAAGGGCCCATCGTCTTAACGTTGTTATACACTTCCTAAACTCACCACTTGTTCTGTCACCATTTATGCCAAGTTTAAAACACTGTTACACTAAACTGTAACTCTGAAATCACACACAAATAAATCATTTCTTTCCATCTCCAACCTAGTATGACAGTGAAGTTAAACAGATATTTTGCATCAGTTTTTACAGTGGAAGATACTTCAAACATCCTATTAATACTAAAGGGTAGGATTTAAATACCTGCACCATCACTAGAGAGGTAGTATTAGAGAAACTAATGGGGCTGAAGCCAGATAAGACCCCTGGCCTGAAAAGCTTGTATTCTAGATTCTTATAAGTAGTAGTTAGAGATAGTGGATGCATTGTTTTCCAAAATTTTCCAAAAATATTGGAATTCTGAGGAAGGATTGGAGGATTCAAAAGCCACCAATGTGACACTCCTATTCAAAAAATAGGAAGGGAAGCACCACATGGGTAACTTTAGGCCATGACTACATAGCCGAACATCTACGGCTGGGAAAAATGTTAGAACCACTTAAGGAAGTAACAGCAGCACTTTTAGAAAATCAATCAAGCAAGGTCAGCGTGATTTCATGAAAGGGAAGCCATGTTTAACTAATTTGTTAGATTTCTTGAGGAAGTGTCAACCAGATGGATAGACGGGAGCAAGATGTGCTGTATGTAGACTTCCAGAAGGCATTCAACAAGGTAACTCAAAAGGTTAAGGCATAAGATTTGAACGCATGATTTGGGTGTAGTATATAGGAATGGATGGAGAATTGGTTCTTGGATAGGATACAGTGGGTGGGGATAAGGTATTCTTTTCAGGTTGACAACCAATAACTAGCAGGGGTCCACAGGGATCAGTGCTGCAGTCGCAACTGTTTACAATATTAAGCAATGACCTGGTGGAAGGAAGCAAATGTACTGCAGCCAAATTTGCAGATGACAAAATTAGGCATAAAGGTAAATTGCAAGATGAATACAAACAGTTTACAGACAGATTATTAACAGGTTAAATAAGTGGACAAATGAAGTTCGCAAATGGAGTAAAATATGGGAAAATATGAAGTTGTTCATTTTGGAAACGAGAACAAAAGAACATTGTATTATTTAAATGGAGAACAAAATGCAGATATAGTTGTAACACAAAGGGACTCAGGGGTACTTGAGCATAAAACTGGGACACAGATGTAGCAGATAATCGGGGGGCTAATGGAATATTGTCCCTTTTTTCAAGGATTGGACTATAACAGTAGAGAACTCTGATGGCAACTATACAAGCAGCTGGTGAGACCACATCTGGAGTATTGACAGCAGTTTTGGTCCTCTAATGGAAGGAAAGATATTTCATTGGAGACAGTTCATTAGGATGATCCCTGATATGGAAGAATTGTCTTATGAGCAGAAGACAAACAGCTTGGGATGAATGAGAGGCAATCACATTGAAATATACAAGATTCATAAAGGGCTTGACAGGGTAAATGTTGAGATGGTATTTCCCCTCATGAGAGCCTAGAACCAGAGGGCAAAGTCTCAGGATAAAGAAGGACCAATTTAAAACCGAGATGAGGAGGAATATCTTCTCCCAAAGGGTTGCGTGTCTTCAGAACTTCTTGCCAGAGAGCTGTGGGGACAGAGTCCTTGTGCATATTTAAGGCTGAGAAAGATACATTCTTGATCAGCAGAGGAATCAAGGGATACAGGGAACGTAGGAAAGTCAAGGTGAGGAACTGTCTGGCCAGCCAATGTTAGTATTCATGCTTCTCTTGAGCCTCCTTTCATCCATTCTCACCCAGCTTAACCAGCATTATCTTCTGTTCTCTTGCTGCTCTATTTAACTCGCCTCCTCTTAATACATCTTTATTTGCTTCAACCATCTTCTACAGCACAAAGTGCACATTCTCAATCAATTGTTTATAGACATTTCTATTGTACTTTCCACTTAACAGCTCAGTGGCTGTCTTATAGCAATGACCTCTAGTTTTGCTCTTCCCCACAAAGGGAAACTTGTGTGTCCGCCTTGTAAACCTTTAGAATTGTAAAGATCTCTATAAGGTCACAATGCACTGTCATAAATGGTCATCTATATGTATTTAAAACTCACCTTTAAAATCTTCTCTTTGGGCCTGCATCTCTCGCTTATTCACTTTTGTTTCTGAACAACAGATAATGCTGTGGGAGCTCTTCGTGCTGTTTTCCACATAGGCAGTGCTGGTTCCTTTCTTGGAAGGATGAGGATCACAGAGTTTTGCATTAATCTTAAAAAGCTCAAGGGCCTTTATGGCCGCTGCATTGTTATCCATACGAAGGAAACTTGGACAGGAAGCACAAAACTCATTCGTGCAGGCCTCATTTCCACAGCCCTCAGTTAACTGGTGGTAGTAGCGTTCTATTAGATGCTTTGCAGCTGCTCGCTTCCTGTGGCAAACATTCAAAACAGTAGGCAAAGGGATTAGTACAGCCTTCAAATACCAAGCTCAGTGCTGCATGAGCACGGCAATGTTTCATTTAAATGACTTGTACAATAATACATTGTTGAGAGTCAGCATTCAACCCCAACTCTTCCCCACAACACGTTCTACCTGCAGAATATTTCTAAGAAAAAATAAAGTTCTTAGTAGATAGAAAAACCTGAAGAGAAATACAAAGAACAGTAAGGAAGCTACTGTTCCCTAGAGTTGACAAAAATTGATTTAGCATCCCTTTAAAGTATAATTGCAATTACTTCACAATACTTCAGTAGAATTTAATTCACATGTACAATGACAGTTGTGTACAATAACAGTTTGTTCCATAAGGGACTTGTTACGAAGAGTAACATCTTAAGTTAGAAGTATGACGATTTGTCCTAGTTTCGCCACTTTCCCAATTTGATATTAGCACAATCTTCTTAAATGAAACATTGCACAGACACACGGAGATCCCACCAGGCTTTCTTGGCAATTATCAGTTTCAGGAAAGGATTTCCTAAATCATGCATTGGAGATTATAAATTTTTACTAGGTAGGAGCGAAGCATTCCTTTTAAAGCAGTTCTAAGGTCAGATAGTTGAAATTATTTAAGGGTTAAACATGGCATTTTGTTCTCAGATCCTCAAAATTTCACTTGCACTATCAGATGCCAAGTGTATTCAAAGGCACACAACACCACCATGCATCTAAAGCTACAAAAATTTACATATGCAGGACCTAAAAATGCCAAATCTCAAAAAAAACCTTATTCTTTTTAGATAAAGCAGCATTTAAATCTTTGAAGAGCTCAGTTTTGAAAGTTCCAAGGAGAATGAAAGTACAGCAGGTAATATGCATTTTAAAAAGGCAGAAGGTGATCCATTACCCAAATGCAGAGAATGCGTAAACATCCTTTACTCATACTTTTTCACAAATAGATAAGAGGGCTTACTGTATTAAACAAAGTAATGACAAGTGCCTATTCAATTCACTTTTAACCTTTCAAACAGAAAAAAGTACAATTTTAATTTTGACCAACTGACTTCAAACCTACACAGAAATCAGTATTAAGTATGAACGTTATTGGAAATTCCTTTACACTGTTTGCATAGCTTATTTCTCTTTCATTACCTCCCAGTTTTATTTTTAAAGAGGTTCCTTTAAAACTTGCTGTTCCTGTGGTGACATTTTAGCAGGCACAATCCTTGCAGAACATGCTTTCTTCAAAAGAAAAATCAATTGGCCATGGTACATAAAAAGCAGTTTCAAGTCCTAAATGCATGCTTCCTTTATGCTTACCCTTGATTAATTTCTGGAAATAAAATTGAGAAATTTCAAATACTTCCAGCACATCCAACAATTTTCTATTATTTCCTTTGCACCCCTGGCTGTAAAGTACATTTTAATAAGACTGATCAACTCTAATGCAACAGGTGGCATACTGAACTCTCTAAAACATTCAGATTCCTGTTCAATAAACAGCACTTCAACACAAGACCACCAAGATACATTCAGGTCCATACTCATGAACTGCTCGACGTAGCATTCAATTATATTAACATAAATTATAGTAAAGGCAAAGTCGCCATAGTCTTACCACAGCATAGTGCTGTTCTCTCAATAGGGGTGAGAAGGGGAAAACTGGCAGTGGAAGCGGAAGGTGACCAGGCCTTAGGCAAGGGTAAGAGGTCAAGAAGGCAGCAAAGCCTTCATGGTAACCTCGACCAGTGCAGGAACTGCAAACCCACGCTGTTGGCAACACTCAACATTGCAAACCAGCTTTCCTGCCAATTGAGCTAACTGATTTCTCTCCCCACCCCCACCCTGCAACAGGCACACATTCACGCGCACACACACACTGAACAAAGAGAAGCTGACTACCCATATATGAAGTAGCCCTATTACAAATTTTGTTACTGGTGATCATTTACCCGTGCATTTAACAACTCTAAAACTCTAACATTAGCAAAGAGCTAAAGTAGACTGGTCACCGATTTTGGAATTGGTCTGATGATACCTTAGTTACTCAGATTACCATTTCAATTACAGCAGTGAGGAGGGATGATATATCGGAATGTTCATCAAATCAGGCCTTATGGGTAGAAGTTTAAAAAAATACAAGTGGCAAAAACTCCATTGGGTATGTACTACAGACTCAAGGCAAAGGCAAAGGCAAAGGCAAAGACAAACAAGAAGAGACAGAGGATCAGATGTGTAATCAAATCTCAGAAGTGTAAGAATAAGCAGTAATAGTCAGGAACTTTATCTACCCAAATATTAACTAGGGTAGCTTTAGTGTGCAAAGCAGGGAGCGACAAAACTCAAATAGCAACCAGGAGAAATTTCTAGCTAGGACATTGAAAGCTGAACAGGAGGGGGCAGTTTCTGGCACTTCCTAATTTGAAATTAGCCCAGGCAGATGAAAGGCAAATCAGTATGGGAGCAATTTGGGGATCACAATCATTGCAATTAAATTTAGGATAATTACGGAAAAGGAAAAAGATGGACCAAGAACAGAATTTCTAAACTGGGGAATGGCTAATTTTACAAACATATGATTTGGAAAACAGACCGAGAGCAGTTACTTGCAAATATCTGTGTCAGAGCCATGGAAGGCATTCATGTGGGGAAATACCAGATTACAGGCCATATTTATTCTCACACAGACAAAGGATGGGACTAAGATCGGAGAACCACAGATGTCAAAGGACAAAAGGATCAGGATTAAGGAAAAAAGAGCAGCTTGTGGCAGATACTGAGGGCTTGACAAGGTAGTCCCTGGAGGAGTATAACAATCATAGACAGCAAAACTTAAAAAGGAAATTAGCAAAGCAAAGCATGAGAAAATATTGACAGATGAAATAAAGGAAAACTTAAAAGTTCTTTAAAAATTTATAAAGAACAACAGAACTAGTGAAAGATTTAAGTCCATTAAGAACCATAGAAGTAATCTGTATGTAGACCTGGAAAATGAGGGCACAATACTCAATGAATACTCTGCGTTTGTCTTCACAATGGTAAAAGATGTCACAGATATAAACATCAGGGTGGAGGGCTGTGAAGAGTCAGACAAGAGGAGGTACTAGTAGCTTACAAACAGATAAATCTATGAACTGGATGAGATTTATCACAAACTGCTGATGGAAGCAAGGAATGAGATATCAGAGGTCCTGGCGGTAATTTTGAAATCCTCTTTATGACAGGCTGGGTACCACAGGAATGGAGGATTGCTAATGTTGTTCCATTATAGGAAAAAGGGAGGAAGGAATAAACCAGGAAATTACAGATCAGTCAGTCTCAGCTCAGAAGTAATCAAAGAATTCTGATAAACACAATACATGTGCTTTTGGAGACACTTGCATTAATCAGACACAGTCAGAATGGATTTAAGGGAAGATTACATATGACAAATTTGACCAAACTCAATATGGAGGTAACCAGGAGGTTGACGTTAATAAATCCGATGTGGTGTGCATGGACTTTAGCCAAGCCTTTGATAAAGGTAACTCATAGCAGCCTGCTCATGAAAATAAGAGCCAACAGGAACCAAGGCAAGGTAGCACTTCAACAGGTCAGTTTCCAGGGGGCATAGATTTAAGAAGTAGAACACTAAGAGAGCAGTTGAGATTTTTCAATCAGAGGGTAGCAGCAGTATGGAACTGAAAGGGTGTTTGAGTCAGAAACCTTTGTAACATTTCAGCAATGTTTAGATATTCACTTGCATTGTCATATCCTTCAAGGCTATGAGCCAAACACTGGAAAAAATGGAAATGTATGCAAATCTTTGTTGATCAGCAAGACTGCATTGCCGGAATGGCCTCCTTCTGTGTTATACATGTTGATGAATCTATGAAATTCTCCAACTCAAAAAGGAAGAGGCAGAAAACAAAACTACTGGCCAACTAGCTTGATGTCCATTACAGGGAACGTGTTAGAATCGATCATTAAGGAAACTGTAGTCAGAAAAAAATATTGCCTGCATGGGAAATCATGTTAAAATAAATTCATTGGAGTTCTTTGAAGGAACAACATGCACGGTGAATGATAGGGTGCCAGACATATTTGCATACTTGGATTCCTAGAGGTTATTTGACAAGATGCCACATAGAAGATTATTATGCAATGTAGGAGTGCATGTTGCAGGGAGCAACATAAGCACAAAAACAGCTGGCAAAAAATAAGAATGCATAAACAAATCTTCTGATTGACAAGAAATGATGAGTCCTGCAGTGATCTGTGCTGTGCTTCAGCCTTTCACAACTTACATCTATGACTCATGAACAGAGCAAAAGACAGCAGCTAAAGCTGCAGTTGACACAAAGATAGGTAGGAAAATGTTATGAAGATGATAAAGATGCATAAAGATACATGAAGATACATGAAGTGAGTGGTCATAAAACTGATAGATGGAGTAAAATGTGTGAAAATGTTAACTCAAGCACAATAGAGACACAGATATCCAGAAGTTTTGCAGTTGTGTTGAACCCAGGTAAGAATTAAAAACAGTATTACTTAAATGGAGAAAAGCTGTGGAATTCAGAGAAGCAGAAAGATCTAGGTGTTCTAGAACATGAATCAATGCAGCTACTGCAAGTACTTAAGGGAAACTGCATGCCAGTGTTTATTTTGAGAGAAATTCAACCTAAAATAAACATGCTATGCATTTATATTATAGGGCATTGGAACGACCAAATCTCTCATGTTCCGTGCAGTTTTGATGTCCTTGTTTAAGGAAGGATGAAAATGCTACGGAAGTGATCCAGGAGGTAATGTACTACATTGATACCCAAAATGAATGGATTTTTTGCATGACAACAAATTCAATAAATTGAGTTTATTTCTACTGGAGTTTAGAAGAGAAAGAAGGGTGACTTGACTGAAATATATAAGATCCTGAACAGTCTTGACAAGGTGAATGAGGAAAAGGACATTCCCCTGTAGGTCAGGGGGCAGTGGCACTGCTGAAAAT